GTCTTTGACAGCTGGGAGTCTCTGTTTTATGTTTGTAATCATCTTATGCCATCTAGTGGAAGAACATTTAATTGTTCTGCCTGTCACCATTGGAAAAACAAGACGTTGTTTAAATTCAATATATAATAGTCCAATTAAGTGAAATTGTATAATTTTCTACCCCTGATAATCTCTGACAACACACTAATGTACCTTTGCGCTGTGGTTGGGAGTCACTGGCCTGGTCTAATGTGAATTCCGTGGACAAATTCTGCTCTTTGTCCTGAGTCTCTGTCTATTACCCCTTCACTATAACATGAATGACTGTTGTTTTAACAACAGAGGTTTGTCGTGTTACTGTTTTGTTGTTCTATTAGTCCCACAGATCCCATATAACTCCTCCATGTGCCTCACAAGACACTCCTCCTCTTCTAACGTGTGAGTATTTTCCCTACTCGTTTCTTACCTCCCTGCCTCACATCATCAGCTGCTTTTTTCTCTACCCTTCCTCATCTCCCACTCTGCCTCAAACCTCATTAGAGGAAGAGAGAGAAAATAAAGGAGGTATTTCACAGTATAAACATGCCATAACCTGGGTGTCTTGTGTTAGCTTAAGCTGCTCCAGAGCTTTGCCCTGCCCCTCGGCCATTTACACCACACTCCTGCTTATTCACACATATACACCTGAATAAGCTCAGGGTTTTTCTGGGGGTTTAGTCAGGAATCCCTGTTGACTTTCCTACACCAAGGTGACACAGGATAGATTTTCCTGCCTAAATGAGGTAGTGCAAATGTTTTATCCTTAGGAGACAGGAGACTTTTCAGGATGTTTGCAGAATTGCCTTCAGGGTGAATTTTATTCTTCATATAAAAGCAAGTGTGAACTGTTGATTTATTTAGAGATGGATGGATGTCAAGCAAATATTATTTTCATTTTTCTTAAAAACAGACACAACTAATTAACATACTTACATTTCTTTAAATATATATATATTTACGATAAATGCTAGTTACATTTTACAAGTAACGTTTAAATGTATATTTTGTCTTCTAGAAGCAGTGAGACCATGGTTCACGATGACAGGTTCAAAAGAGTAAGTGTTGTGAGTTCATATTAAACCTCATATACGGTATATGTGTGGGTGTGTTTATGTATATGCAATACATATAAACTTAGTTTATATTCATGTGTTTATTGTATGATATGATTTTATTGTTTATTGTAACTGTTTCTCTGTGTTTCAGCTTAAAACAACTCCTACTCTGCCATTAATCAGTCCCAAACAAGAACAAGGTATGACTTTTATGAATTCACACACATTTTTGTCCTTTAAAATTAGCCAATGAAAAGTCACGAAGTTGCTCAAGATTTAAAATGATTAAAAAGAAAATTATGTAAATATAACATGGGAAAATATGTATGGATTATGAAAACCCAGCCATTAAAAATATTTTTGATTCTTGAAGTCTAAAGGGGCCAATAAAAAAACTAGCTAACCTGTTGTAAACAACTAGTTTAATGTAAAAGCCTTACAGGAGTAGTGTTTTTTTTACAACATCTCACTTAATGTATATACAGCAAAGCAGGTTGTTAATGGTACTTCAATCCATTATTTTTCTGTTCTACCTGTGACATAATTGCTTCTCCATGTCTGTCAGTGTCTAAATTTACAAATTTAATTTTGAGCAGTCACAATCAACTGGCAGACTGACTCTGTTTTGGAGGAAATGGACACCGCAATTGACCACCCACACTGATTAAACTGGTGCAGATGTTGGTGTAGTTGTTATGTTTGGAATAATTCAGCCGCAGTTCCTCCTCCTATGTGAGAAGGTGTCCTCGGGGCTTTGACCTCAGTTATGGTGCCGAATTTAGCTGGCAGTTATTAAGTTGCTGTTAATATGAGAGGGTCAGGATTAATGAATATATTTGAGGAGAAAATCATAATATTTAACCAGTATCAGATAGTTTGTACTCAGCAGACCATTTGTTTTATTTGTTATAAAGAATCAACCTGTAAAAATTGCGCTCATATTTATTCTTATTGCCAATGCCAACATGAAAAGAGGTGTTTTAATAAATTTATGCTTTTTAATATATATTAAACAAAAAACATTTTTAATTCTTCTTTACTTTAGAGGTTATTGATTGATTATATTATTTTTTGTTATGATTCATCATTAAATGTCTTCATATTTGTTAGAACTTGTTGCTTTATTTTGTTTCTCTGACAGGCCACGCCTCTCAAAGGTCATCCATTCAGAACATGATGGATGGCCGCTCTCTCCGACTGCCAACTGTTGGGTAATAAAATATGTTATCACTACGATAAACCATCATTTACAAGGAATTGCACTTCCTTTATTTCAATGTCATGACAAATATTTTGGTTACCTGACAGAGATATTTTTTTACATTGGTGTGAATTTCTCTACCCAAACATACTCAGTATAAAAACTAACCTCATATTTAATGTGATTTGATTCAAACTACAGACACAAACACACATTCTTGAAAGCATAAAACAACACATCTGTCCCTGCAGTTAATTCTCACCTTTTTTCTCCAGCAGTCAGACAACCATCCACAGACAACCATCGATGCAGGAGCTTTCCTTCAGCCAGAGTCCTTTTTGGTCATCCCCCACCTTCAAGCCCCCCACCTCCTTCAGACACTCCATGTCCTCTCTGGTCTGCCCTCGTCCTTAAAACCACACAGACAGTAACAGAATAAATGTGTTGTTGCACATTTTTGTTTTTATGTCTTTCACGAGGTCAGTTAGTATTAAAACCGCAGAGAGGTGTAAATGACCTTACTAAAACCTGTGAAACTTTATTACTGTGTCTATTAATAAATTGTTGTTCCATTTTGCTTTCGACTTTTACAACTAGAATATATATTCATTCCTGTTTATTGCTTTCTTAACAACTCTGGTCCATTGTATTAAATTACAGTATATATATATATATATATATATATATATATATATATATATATATATATATATATATATATATATATATATATATATATATATATATACATATAAAGGTTTCTTTTTTTATACATTGGTTGTACATGTTTGTCGATAAAATAAAATCAATAAAACCAGACTTCAGAATACCTGAAATATCCCTTTAACCACCCTCACCAGCACATCTGTGGCGCTCAATGCTGCGTGTAACCCTCAGTAACCTGAGTCGTGATTTCATCCTGAAATCTTGTAACAAAACAGCTGCATGTGAAGACGGAGGAAAAAAAAGTCTAGCCACACAGGAACATGATATCACCTGGAGTCATCACAGCAGGGAGAAGCTGATGGAGTGGAGCGGGTGGTGAGCAGCTCCGATGTGTTCAGACAGGCTGATGCTGTCTCTGTCACGCTGACTTCTAGCTTCTATTGTCCCGGGTTGTCAGGACACTGAATAGTCTATTGAAAGGGGCTCAGGTGTGACGTGTGTGTGTGTTCATGCTATATTAAGGCCCATACTCCCATCTGGGTGTGTGTGGTTGAGGGCTATTGTACAGAGTCAGTAGGCTTCATCCTCTTTGCTTCAGTGGGATTGGAAGTCATTTCCTGTTGTTTAACTTCCACTTAGAGAGAAATGACTCCCCAGGGCAGACGGAGCTGCCATGGTGTCATACACTGTCAGAGGGAGGACTAAATCAGAGTAATCTCTCCATCACACACAGACAAACACTCTCTCTTTTTTTCACACACTGATGCAGTTGTACTTGTTGGGACTTTTACGTCTACAGTCCGACCACTGCTTTATCTTACATCTGTTTATCCCAGATTTAGGAATGAGGTTCTGTCTTATTGGGACACACTTTTGTGTTAAGTGAATTTTTTTAGTGTTACTTAAGTAGTTTGTAATTGGATATTATTGGATATTATTAAATTAAGCAAATACACGCAGCTTCAAAAAGCAGAAGTCTTGTTCTCTGCATTCTTTACTGATTACAATCAGCCATGCTAAATGGAAACTGAATCTTTGAAATACTTAAATTTCAATGTTTTTAAGATGTCTTAAATTTTGTCTTTGACATACCGTAATAATATCGAAGTAAAATTCCTACATAAGTTGTAGTAATGGTATTTTAAACAACCTTATATTTAACAAAAAAGTATTTTTCTGTCCTACTTTCTTGTTAAGTTAATACCTGGAAAAGGATAAAATATGTTCTGGACTTCTTTTCTTGTTGTTGTTTGTTTTTCCCTTCATGGGTGCCCAATAAGAAGACCAGGATCTACCAGTAGATTACCAAGAGATTACTGGTTGATCAGGAGCACTGAAATCTCTCTATATAAAATATAAATATAGTTCTGTGTGTAGTAGTGACTACAGTAAGAATGGGATTATAGTATGCCAAGTAACCCAGTTTATACAGTGTATGTTATATTTATATGTGTATATGTATATTTAATGTTTTCAACATAGGTCGATCACTTTAGCCTGGTCACTTCTATAGTAGCTCCCAATCCAAAAATATGTGGGAACCCCTGCCTTAAAGCAAACTATGTGAAATGTGTAAAAGAACAACTCTTTTCTGCTTTGTTTTCATCTTCTACACTTTCTCACATGCCTAACCGCACACACACACACACACACACACACACCCCTGCATGGCTCCAGGCAGTACAAATGAGTGCTGCCACTTCAGAGAGCTAAAGAAAACTATTCTGATGTCAGTGGTAATTATTCAGCAGCCATTCCCACAGTTAATCCTCCCATCCTTTTCTACATCTCTCCCTCTCTTTGTTTCTCTTTGTGTGAATCAGAGTCACATACACATGTTGTTCTTGAGCAGCAACAGCAACGACGCCACCTCTTTTGACAGACGGGTAAAAATAAAAACCAAACAGTAGCAGATGAAGTTGACCTCTGTACTACATGTGTTTTATTTCTGAGTACTTTTTTTTAAAACTTTTTTTTGTATTGTGACAAGGGTATTAAATAAAACTAGCCTTAAAAACAACATTTTAAAATATTTTATTCCTTGTCAACGACAGGTTCCTTAGAACAAAACAAACAGGAGTTTGTTGGTAAATGTTTTTAAGGTATAAAGCAAAGCTACATATTGAATCACAGATTCAAAGACATGCTTCCGAAAAACTCAGAAACAATGGAATTGAGGTAAATGCTGTCAGTCTGTCCAAAATTCATATTCATATAAATATATATCTTAAAAGTCACTAACATTAAATGATGACAATGTTGTGTGATAGCTTTACATTTAACAAATCCTTCAGTAGGTTTCTACAGGGTCCATTTAAAAAAGAAACCCTTTACTACTGCCAACATTTCCACACAAACACATATTTTTCCATCATCATTTATGTTTGTCTAGATATTTATGAATCCCACCTGAGTGATCATAACAAAAAAGCCTGGGAATGGCTGGCACACATGTTGTAGCAGTTTTTTTGGGCAAATTACCAAAGAGGACTGCACACTCAAAACAGATCAACATTTCAAGACGAACAATAAACTTTAAAATCATAGGCTGACTTCAAAAAGAATGCTCAACATATTACATAACCCTGAAATAAGTACGTTGGCAGGAAGTCATAAATTTAGACAAGTTGATCTCAGTCAGTCACTCAATTTAAATCCATTTTAATACAGCTGAAGCCCACGAGAATGTATGCTCTTTCTCTGACGGTTTTCTGTCAAACTTGGTGGATTATATCGCATAGAACATATTGTTTGCCATTTTCAAAATATGCAGGAGTGTCCAAACCATTGTTAATCCAGTCCACAGTCAATAATAAGAAAGTACCTGAGGGCAAACTCCTACTCTAACACCTAAACCCAAGTGTCAAGCACACACCCTCCAGTCTTACTACTTTATCAGTAATTTCATTTTTTGGTAGCATTATGGCTAAGCCATTGCTACATAAATTAGCCAGATTTCTATAAAAAAGTAATTATTCCACTTTTCTTATGTATTGTTCAAAAGATATTGCATGAAATAGTCAACAATACTATTGTTTTAATCATCTGTTTGTTTGTTTATTTTGGCACAGGTTTTGTTGGATTTTACCAGCAAATAAGCATCTTACAAGCAAACAAACAAAAACTATGGCTGTAGAAATATATAAAATAATACTGTTTCTAGATGCATTTTTGGTTTGTTTAACAACTACAGGAAAATCAATAAAACGTAGCGGGCCAAAAAGCTGGAAACAAGCTAACCAATAGCTAGCATTAAGCTAGAAAAGAAACATATCAATTTGCAGTGGTTAGCTCTGAAAAAGCTTAAAGCTTTGCAACCAAAAGAAATGCAAGGATGGTAAGAAAAATAAGGCAAGGCTAAAACAGCCAAATGACACCCAATACTATTGCTAACTGATCTATTTGTTGTTCTTCGGTACAGCCTGTAGGTGGCAGTATTGTCCACCTCAGTCTTGCATCATGATAACAGCACTGTGCATTCCTTCATTGTGTGTGGAGATGTTTGACAAACAGCTGCCTCTGATAGGCATCTGCAGGATGACACACACACACACACACACATACACACTCTCACACACACTCTTTGTCTTTGACTTTTACTGCTCTATTGAACAAATACACAGTGTGTTACTTTTAAAACGCACAACCAACCAACCTGACTTTTTTCACTTCTCTATATTTTCCCTCACCCTCACACACACACACACACACACACACTTGGCAGGACGTGCGGGAAGAAAAAGGGGCCGAAAGACAACACCGAGATTAGGAGGCTTTTGTCACGGCTCTGTGGCGGACTTTAAAGGCCTTGGCTGTGTTCCATCTGTCAGGTTTTTTTTTTTTTTTCTTTTTTCTTTCTTGCCCTGTACATTGACATCGCTCTCTTTTCATGAGTGGAGGGAGGTTAACATGTAGTATAGTGGTGGAGAAAGGTTTGGAAAGGTGGAGGAAGGATGGATGGATGGATCCTACACCCGCTGCCCCCTTTTAGCCTCTCTTTTTTCTGTTTTGTTTGCCCAGGTTTAAAGGCAGCTTTGTGGTTGAGTGGAGGATGAGTAAAGAGGGAAGGAGGGGAGGAGAGGTGTGCACACACAACGCTGCTTCAATGCCAGCCAGGTGTGTGTGTGTGTGTGTGTGTGTAGGCCTGCATCTGTGCTTTTGTCTGCACATTTGCACTTCACTGAACTCTTCTTTTTTTCCAGGGCAGAACTTTCTGTACCTGTCAGGGTTCCACCTTAAAGGATGACAAATCACCTCCAACATTTGCAACTATAAATCACAATTACGTAACCTTACAATAGACCAGTGACCCGTCCAGCTTTCACTCCAACTCTCTCTATCTCCCACCAGAAACATTAACCAATTTAACCTTTAACCTGTTAATCAACTGCCATGTTTTTACTGGCTCTTCACCATGGACATTTATCACCACCATTTTTTTCATATACTATATATTATCAATATATTAACATATACCAGACTCATTTTCACCAGGGGCCACATCAACAACACAGTTCCCCTTAAAGGGCCGGTTGTAACTGTCAGACTGTAGATGCACATTTCTGTGATTGATTATTATTTATGTCACAAATATTGTAAATTTCCCTGTGTACTGAAAAAAATAATTTATCACTTTAAGAAACTCTGACTACTGAATTACAGTATAAGGCAATTAAACTTTAAGCTCCTGCGTGCCACATTTGGCCCACGGGCCTTAGGTTTGACACATCTGACATTTGCTGATATAGTTATATTATGCATTATTCGTAACATTAAATCAACCTTCCAGAAACTTTGTAGAATCCTTAAAATCATATTGCTAAAAAAATAAATATAAATAAATAAACTTCTAGGTTACTTTTAAGCATGGGGGAGAAGAGAGAGCGAGGGAGAGAGAGAGAGGGAGAGAGAGAGGCACCATCTCTGTCTGACTCCATTCACCTGAACTATTCTAACTCTGTGAAAAAGCCAGTAAAAAAAAGAACAAAACCCTAAACTCCGGGACAGTTCCTTCTCATCACCAACCACAGCTGCTGTTGACTCAAGCTCACAGGAATCTCCTCCACGGGTTCACAGCTTTTAAACCAGCCGACCGCACACCAGATCATCCACATGGGAGCAAAAGGTCCTGGGAGACTTGGAGGTCTTGGTATTGAACATTTGTCCTGGCAGCACTCGTGCTTTTCACAGTTCCATGTGACGACTGGACAGAGCAGAACGGTTGACGAATGTGTGACTGGGGCTGAGAGCAGCTGGTAGAGAATCAGAAGGTTCAGTGCTGCAGCAGCTTTAGACTAATACACACATTAACACAGACCCTGGTCCCAAAACAGTGTCTACTGAAAGGTTTTTTTTAAAATGCTCCTCTGTGGGTAGAAAGTCTGGGAGAGACTGTTTTAGAGGGTTATTGTCAAAGAGACGACAATCAACAGTGAGCTCAGGTTTGGTGGTGCACTTCCACATCTCAGGAATGTCTCGGGTAAATTCACACTCCTCTGCTCAGTCTGTCACTCAGTGAGAACCACTGGAGCTGAAAACCTGCTGTCTACTGTTCTACCACAGCCTCACATAACAAGTTAAAGGTGATTTAGTAACATCTCACCATCTCTGTCCGTCCACGCGTTACTGGAGGAACCAGGAAGCAGGGGCTGGAAGTTCAATTGGTCAGTGTACCTTCAGATATCCAGTATTTCCAACAGGAACTGAGTCTTACTTCAGGGAAACAAGCCAAAAAAACAAAACACAACATAAGCAACACAACGGGAACACTAGGAAAAAGAACTGGAATAACAGAATCACAGGAATTAGGATCTCAAACACGCAGTAAACAGGAGCAGAGTGAAACGATACACAGGTGAGAGGAGAGAGGCTGATTAACAGGTGAGGCTGAAGACACTGACTGACCCTGGAGAGAGAGAGAGAGCAGACACCAAGTCCATTACACTACAAATAATAATAGTAATAATAATAATAATAATAATAATTATTATTATTATTATTATTATTATTATTATTAATTTTTTATTATTATTATTTTTTTGCCTTATACACAGAGGGTGACAGGTTTGGTGCCACATATTCCTAACAGTGCCTCTTGTGGCAGACTGTGTGGGTTGCAATGACTCACACTGTGAATTTCCCCATTGTGGGATAAATAAAGGAATTAATTTTAGTTTTTATATTTATGTATATTAACTAAAAGTCTTTAATTCTGTTATTTTTTGTGTTCAGTTAATCCATACACAGATCCTAATAATACCAACATTTTTACAAATGAAATTGCCCACAGTGGTCCACCTGTTGGAAGGGAAGTGGAAGCACTTGTCTTATGATCAGTTTGACCTGCGTTTTACACCTTGTGCTTCTGTGTGAAGTTTGAATGTTCTGAGTTGGCTCCGAGTTGACGATAGGTGTGAATGTGAGTGTGAATGTGTACTGTCTCTGTCCCTGACTGATGGACTGTCAATTCTATAAATCCTATTGTTGTGATACTGACAGTGAACCTGTTAAAGTCCACGGCTGTGTGTTTTTTTTCTTTCCTTCTAGATCCACACATTTCTTTCCTTCCTTTCAGTCAACACTTCCACACTCTTCTCTCAATCCTCCTCAGTCTCATCTCCTGTCATCAGTGTTGAGAAGACGTGAGCTCAAAACATCACTCAGTGCTCAGCTTTGTATCCTCCTCCTCCTCCTCCTCCTCCCACTCATGCTCCTCTGCTTTTCTTCATCTTTCCCTCCTGTGTCTGTCGCTCCTCACCGTCATCACCCCCCTCACATTCTCCCAGTCAATCACATTCGCAGGAGATAACCAGGAACAAACCGCCAAAACGGGCTAATCTGTGAGATAAGAGAAGAATGAGGTTAAAGTCAGTGATGGAAACCACCGCATCGACTCCTGCAGTTTCTTTTTACTCCCTCGTCGACTCTCACACCTTCGGAACTGGAGAGTCTGGATTATTTCACAGCTTCACACTTGTTCTGAATTTTTATTCATCACCTCTGAAGCCTCCCAGACGCATGGACGTTCCAGGATTTGTTAATCCCCAGGTTGGGTTTACACAGTGAGGCTCATGAACACGTGTTGAGAAAAAAAAATCACGAAACCACAAGATTCCTGTGAGGTGTTTTCCTCCTTTGTGTATTTTCATTTCTTTTCCCTTTCCTTATACAGTCACAGCTCCCTCAACCACATGACCATGACTGTAACAAAGACAGAATTGTATGCATTTAGTTGGTGAAAAGGGCCGATCCATGAGGAAAGGATCTACGTTTGTCAGATCCTGTGTTTTATTGGTAATGTCATATGGATGTTGGAATAAATGAAGGGAGAAAAAGACAAAGAACATGTTTTTCCTAATAAAAAAATCTCATCAATATTTAGTACAATACAACACGGTGAGAGAGCGGCTAGCTATCTTGCCTTACAGCACATAGGTCAACCGTTAGACCAGTGATTTTTTTTTTCCCCTGATGTTCAACCTACAACTTCTCGGCCGAGAGATGCTACTTAAGATCAGTGATTCTTTTTTTTTTTTCCCGGTGTTCGACCTTCTCGGCCGAGAGATGCTACTTAAGAACATGAGGAACACAGAGTTGACTGATGTCGTTTGTGGCTGTTCTCATGTCCTGCCCTGTTGTCCGACTCTGTGCTCTTACAGCACTCTGTCATTTTGACAGCATGTATTTCATCATCTTCACCATCTCCCAAAATTACTCAGAGAGAGAGAGAGACAGAGTGAGAGAGAGAGAGAGAGAGGAATGGGCCTTCACACCCTCCATCTGCACGCAACCCTCGTCCATCTTTCATCTCGCCAGACAGACATGTTGACAGGTCAAACACTGGCTGCAGCTCCAGCAATTGAAGGCCTACAACTATTTAGAGAACTCAAAGACAGTCCCGTGGTGGTGTGAGCCTGTGAGGCATTGCAGTGAAGAGGACTGGAATCTCTGGCTGTACTGGAAACTCAGCTGGGAAACCACACAATAGATAACAATGGATGGAAAAAAACAAACACATAAGGCTTTTTCATTGGTTAAATAGGAACAAAGGTCATTACGACGAACACAACCAGTTGGTTCACCGACTCCAGTTAATTTTATTTCCACATGTGCAATATGTTAATAAGCTTTAGCAACAAATCCTTAAAGTCAACGCAAAGTTGTAAACAAAGAGAGAAGCTCTAAAGGAGAGGGGGGCGGTACTGGGGCAGGTGCAAGTACATTTGGAAGCTGAGAAAACAGAAGAGTCTAGAGTTCAAACAGGAAGTGGAATTCAAAAATAAAACTGAAATTAAGAGACAGAAGATGGGAGTTTTACTTGAGGATATAAATTAAAAGAAACAGATATGGTGTTCATTGACTCTTTTAGCTCCTTCCTAACAGCGACAGAACTTACCTACAATTACATACTACATTTTGTCCTTTTGTCCACAAAACTGTTGGTTTTATATGGAGTTAGTCACAGAGAACGCAGATAAAGACCACAGGGAAAGTGTGCTGTAGGATTCTTTATCGTCCTCTACAAATGGTCCGACAAGCAATGCAGTCAGAAGACTCAGACTTATGACTGTGAGCCATAATGAAGGGCAAATAATTTCCCTAAGAATACCACCACTGAAAAAAAAATCCATGAGGATTGAGTAGTGCAGTTGCATGACCCCCACCTACTACCAGAAGGATGTGGGTTCAATGTCACACGGTCCCTAAAGAACCTGGTGTAAAAACTCTGAGATTTGGGTCATTTGTAAATAATTAACAAATTAAATTAAAAAAAACCAAAAACATTTACCTCTTGTTTTGGCAAATGTGAATCTTTCTCTGCAAAACCACAAAAACTGATATTTTCTCTTTTTTTTCTTCTTTTTTTAATGGCACAATAACATGATTACAGATGAGAAAAAACAAAACATCTTATCATCAGGATGAGACTGTACATGATTGTCCATACAAAGATTAACAATTTCATTTTGTATAATTTCTCAGCATGTATAAATACAGTACTTTACAATAAACACGAAGGCAGTATCTGCTCCATACAGTATAACTATATAACGCAATTCCACTCATGCAGTATATAATGCCCTAGTATATGAAAAAATATTTCAAAAGAAAAAATAAATTAAAAGTAAAATATATACTTTTTTATATTGATTTTTTTTTGCTGTAAAGCATATTTTCTTTTATGATTCCAGAGCTACTTTATGGCACTTTGTTCACTCAATTTAAACACAAACGTCCTCACATGTACACACATGTGCTCAGTGCACGTATATATTTACAGTCTGTCCATTGGCAGTCCATTAGCTTTGACACAAATCCTACAGTTGAACAAGGGAAATGATAAAGAAGGCAGTTACTGGAGAACATGTTTCAGTTGGGTGACTTTTCATCATCATAGAAAAAAAAAATATCAAGAAATATTCAACATCTGTTGTTGGGGCAGAATCCAGCAGCACAATTCAAGGCTTAAAAAAAAAGTTTCACACAAAATGTTATAATCTAAGAAAGGACATAATATGGTCTCTCAGAAAACAGGGAAAAAAAATCTGTTCTTCATTTGTGCTGGGGTGAAGCAAGAGTGCAATGATGTATCAGTGTGAACCACATGGAATTGTGTTCGGGAGAAAATGTTCATATAAAAATAAAAGGCAGTCTTTGCTGTATTTGTGATTAATATACACTTGATTTGTTGTTAAAAAGATTAAAAAAAACAAGTTTTCTTCAACTTTTACGATCTGGATAGTTATCAATGCACCTGCTTTATTTTTATACTTAATTTTAAAGGTTTACATTGAAGTATTTATGTCTAAAGACCAACCTGTGTGTTTGTTATTACAGAGAACCACGTGTTGAGCCAACAGCCCTTTTGACATCTAACATGCACAGTACAGTTCTTCGACCTGTTCAAACCTCTTTATTTTCCTGATAATTACCTTAACTAATGTGGTTGAAGTTTGTTTTATTTAGGGCGCCATCTGTGTGAGAAAAATGCACTTGTTCTCCAAAAAAGACCACATGTGGGGGAGTTAGACTTTGGTTCCTCAAGAAAAATGAGCTTCAGAAAACGTTACAAAAATTAAATTAGATTGAATTATCTGAATGATGTAATGATGTGGTTTTGGACAGAAGTTCTTTTTTTTATATATATATTTTTTAGTCCGTTAACACAAGATAATCTAAAAAAAGCCCTGTCTTTATTTCTAGGTTCTACCTCAATTAGTCACAAGCAGATGTAATATTTAATAAATTGCAGTATAACTATTCAAAATGTTCTTTTTTTAATCTTGATATCAGTCCATTAAATCTAAATCAAGTCCAAACAGTTAAGCTCTTAAAGCTTGACAGACACAGGAAATGTAATAAAGATGGACAGGACTCAGCAGAGGGCTGATTTCTTTTTTTTTTTTTAAAGTGTGGTAGTCCGTGAAGAAGCCAAAGTAAACTTGAATTCTACCGCTTACCGTGATTAGAAGCTGTGTTTGGAATTCAAAGAGCGTGAAGAAAAACCCCATCTGCATCAGCGAAGCCCAGTTGACTTAACGTTCACAAGTTGAACTTTTTTACTAAAAGTTTCTCAACCCGCCCTCCCCAAGGTGCGGCTTAAAGAGTCTCTCCTCGGCTTTTATTTCTCCACTAATTGTCTGATTCCACAGCTGCCGATGACCTCACTGATACGTCGCGCACACACACACACAGACAGATGTTTTCACTTTCACTGATGAGATCTACGCTCAGGATACAGCCTGGAGGAAGAGCATTAGGAAAGACCCGAGTGGATCCAAATTCAGCCATTTAAAGGTTTTCCCATTTGGTGCACAAGACGTTAAATGAGAGTGAGGGGAGCGTGAGTGGATCACTGCAGATTAGGTAACATGAGTCATAGCACCTGTGGCACTGGGCCGTGTACGTGTGTGTGTAAATGGAGGAGAATTAAATTAAAAATATCGTGTTTAGGTTCCTCCATTAATGTAAACAGACGTATGTACAGATGGAAATACATTTAAAATCTATCCGTTTATCAGGCTCTTCTTTTATCATTATCTTCTTTAAGGTGTTGGCATCACTGGACAACATTACCATGATGAACTCACCCACAATTCAGAGCAAAAGTGTGATTTGAATATAAATGAATGGATTTAATGTAAAAAACATTGAGTATGGATTCACTTTTCACAATTGTTTTTTTAACACTAGGGTTTTAGTAGGCGTAATCCTCATTCATATTATCAAGGGACCGGTTTGACTGGTTGATCACGTTAAAAAATATTGTCCCTGAATTAAAAAAAGAAATTCCTCAAAATCATATGAACTGTAAAAGAAAAACCAACAGGAGACATGGGCATTCGGAGAGAAAGGAGCAGAGATTAGGTTTCACGAAAAGCTGTGAAAAGAAAATTTTATACCAGGAAGTACGTGCATTTTCCCTGATGGACAAGTAGGAATTGCACGCAACTTGATCGTAATTTTACTTTCTATTTTTAAAAAGTTAAAATCACATTATTTTGTAAAAATCTCCTTATAAAAATGTAATTCATCAGGGACTGCATTTTTGTAACAGTTGAAATGTTGCAAAGTTTGAAATGTAGCATTATTAAATGTTGCCTAGTAACCACAGTGACAGTTGATTGGTGCTCTGAGCCATGGACTGACACATCTTACTGTGTTCCTGCATTAGCATCCAAACCAGGGGAGATAGGGTCAGATTCCTGGACCATTTCCTACTCATTCATGTTTGATTACAGTAGTGTCTGGACAAACGTGCTCTGTGAGGTTATTGTTCAATTTTGATAATAAAAAATGAGTGTGGTGAATCCCGGCTCACGTGTGGCCTTGAGTATTTTGGTAGTTCTGCTAAGGTAACTTAGCTCAGGAACCTCCACAAGCTACAACACTGGGCAAGATCTTGAGATCAAACTGTCAATGGTTGGAAACTCTAGCATCCTCCCCACCTTTGTAGGAGGACATAGTTGCGTCGTGTCGATGGAACGCGACACTGTGACCCGAGTCTTTTTGTCTCTGAGTGTGGTTCCTGTGGCTCGGTCTGGCTGAGGCCCGGCTAATATTTATATACACTAGATATAAAACTATTTCATTACACATATGCTATATGTCCTTTACTGATCCGTGGTGAAGCAGCATGCTTAAGGCTATACAATAGTTCACTGTACACATGTGTGTGTATATATTTGGAGTCTTGAACTGAGGTTGCGGTTGTGTCTGAAAATCCTGAAGAAAACAGGGGCAGATAAAATTGCTGGGTTGCGGTAGAGTTGCCTCGAAGCGGTAAATTCGTGGAACACTTTATTGACCGAGAGGTTTGCATGAACCGTATTCTTCTTCGCACTTTATGGAGGTTTGCATGAACCGTATTCTTCTTCCAGATTGTTTTGAAATGTGCTCCCACGTTGGCTGAACATAAAGCTCCTTTGTCTCCTCTCTTTACATTCTTTTATGTTTGTGCCTTTAAGTCTGTTCGCACACAACACACTGGCCTCGGCGCAACCAGGAAACAACTGCCATGTTGCTGCATATGAATCCACACGCACTGCCTCATGTGGTTTTCCTTGTTCTTTTCCCTCTATGTCAGCAGTATGGATTATCTGGGATTATTTGCATGCACAGGAACGTCCTTACGTACGAGAGGACAGAGCCTCAGCCTCGATGCTAACACTGGTAGTGAATGTGCTGGTGCTGATGCACTTTGCCGTCCACGTGTGAATGCGTGTGTGTGTGAATGTCAGTGTAGATTTTAGGGTAGACCTTTTGGGTAGCGCCCCCTTGTGCCAGAAGCAGCTGCTGATGTGTGACGTAGTCCTCATAGGACAGGCAGTCTTTGTCCCCATTGGCTGTCGGAGGAGGTAACCCGGCACCAGTCCTCTCTCGGTTAGCTCCAGGAGGACGTTGAGCGGCGGGTAACGCAGAAGAGGTGGAGGATGAGGGTGAAGAGGAGGAAGAGGAGGAGCAGGTGCGTTTTGATTGGCAGAACCAGAGGAGAGCGGTGCCTAAAATGAAGGCGAGGCCTGCTGGTATTCCAATGATGACAGGCCAAGGAAGACTCTGGGACGTAGGTGTGGGGATGGAGTTGCTCTGGGTCTTCAGATCTGTGGATGGAAAAAAAAAAGATTAAAATCTCACATAAGAAAACCTTTTAGAGAACAAATAAAATTTCAAAGTTGTTTTTGACCAATCCTAGCTATTCATAGTCTAACGTTTCTTCACCAACTGTGCAGTGGTTAATCCGACCTATTGGCATTCATAAAAATCACTTATGTATAGCACCGTGGTGACCCCTAATCAGAAGAAAAAAAATGCTAACATTTGGCTTTTGCTAAGCTAAAGCAACATTAAGTTCTATTTCCTTTTAGCAAATGATTACTTCGTGTCTATGTCTTAGCTTTTACAGTTGGACCAAATGGCTGAATTTCTACTACATCATAAACCAGGGGTGTCAAACATACAGCCCACGGGTCAGAACTGGCCCACTACGGGGTGCGATTCGGCCTGATGATAAATTTTTAAAATTGAAAAATACACAAACACTTCATGTTCAGGGTATTGTTGTAATATGTATAATAATAATAATAGTAATAATAATACAAATAATAATAATAATTTCCAATAAAATCCAGTTTGTAAAAGCCTAATAAAAAGCCATTTCCTCCGACCTGGGAGGACTGTGAGGTAAGCACTCCTGAAGCTGTAGCCCATAGTGTTGGCTCCCAGGCAGATGTACATGCCGGCGTCCTCCTCCTTCGCTCTGGTTATTAGCAGCTTATTCAGGTATGATCCATCAGGACGGGACCAAACCTCTCCAGTTGGCAGAACAACAAAACGGTGATCCCCAACCTGTAAATGTAACCATGTGTATTTACCAGTTAGTTATTTCACTGGAAATGACACTAGTTATCAGAAGTCTGTCCTGTTATAGCGTACGTACTTCTATGGTGGAGTTGAACTTGTTCTCATCACCAGGTTCCACTTTCTTCAGCCACTGGATGACTGGTTTGACATCACTGCGGACTTTACACTGGAAGGACGTGGTTCCGCCGTAGTCCACGGTGGTGTTTACAGGGTGGGTTCCAGTCAGGATGGGTTTGGAGTTGGTACGTTCTGCAGAAATGAGACAAACACGTGGGGTTAGGGCTTAAGAACAGCACGGAAAAGAACAACAACAAAAAAAAGACAGATCTTCAAGGAAAGATATTAGTTAGCAGAGGATGGTTTTGATCCATCGACCTCTGGGTTATGGGCCCAGCACGCTTCCGCTGCGCCACTCTGCTACACTTTAGTGTTATGCCAAGAAAGAAATATATATAATATAGTTATTTACACTGCCAGGTGTTTTTAGCATTTCCTCTAGGAAACACAAACACATCTCTAATCTTCAGTTGCAATGTTTTTCTTTTCATGCCACAAAAAACCCCCACCTGACCAAGGCATTAAACCACAAAGAAACAGGTGGGAATATACAATATATTAACTAATATAGTTCAGATGAGTTAACTAGTGATTTAAAAGTTCTTTATAATTATGTATCTATAGAATTAATTTGCTGCATATGTCAAATCTTTGTGTTGGGAATTTTACTTTTTTACATGTTGCGAAGCATACTTTTACAAATACACTTATTCATTTTATATTATTTTTCCTAATTTTGCGGGATTGGCGATCGGACGATTTCTTTATGTGACACTGAGGTTATCCACCGATCGTATCTCTCTCCGCAAAAGTCTGAAAGTCAGTCACTGCTCTGTAGTGAGAAAGAAGATAATAAGATAATAAGATTAATAATGCTCTATTTCCCCATGTTTTATTGAATGATTCATTGTTTTAGTTTCTTTTCCAAACAGCTGTGAGTGACTGACAGCAGGGAGTCTCCACTGATATTTACAATATCACGTTTGACAGGAGCGAGCAGCGGTGTGATTGATTTAATTCCTCTGCTGGGGTGCGTGTATGTACACATGCAAATGTGGGACTACTGCTGCACTGTAATGTGCAGCAGATGTGGGGAGGAAAGTGAGAGCGAACACAGCGAGAGTGAGCCTCCCAACAGAGCTGTAACATGGAGGAAACACACACACACACACACACACAGATTGACTGCCAGCGCGGCAACATCAAAACAAACACACAGTTAAAAAAAAAACAGCTCAGAAACAATCATCACAACACACACAGATTCTGCCTCCAACTGTGAAACCAGAGACTTCTTTTACAGCGAAAATTCACGGAGCTCACCTTCCACACTAAAAAACTTTCCCAGCATTCCTTACTGCTTTGACTGATGTGTGCTGACAGCACTGGCATTGATCAATAAATGCCACAGCGGCAAAAGCAAAAACAAACCCATTAGGGCATTTCTTTTAGATTCTTGGTGGAAGTCAGCTGTTGACACACGGTTGAACGTTTGGCTGCAAAAATCATCAATGTGTACTTTCATGGTTTTTGGTTAAATTTTACTGAGCATTTTGTTATCTGTACAGTAATTTGTTTTTGGAAATCTGTCAAATGTTTTGAGATGGTGATTCAAATGTCCTTATTCACACACTTTCATTTGTTAAATAATGTATTTCACTTAACACACAAGTAATATACCTCAATAATATTCTTAGGGCTTTGTGATTTTTTAAATGATCAAATTAACTTCTCTCCTTTTCCTTTTGATTATGTATGTTTTGATTATGTTTCAGATTTCATTAACTATAATGGATAAATAAAAAAAACATCTGATATCTCCTAAATAAAAACATAAAAAAGTTTCCCTGGATGCATCAGACCAGCCTGGCTGACTGCAGGGCAGGACGTTAGTCTACAGCTGACATGTCGACTGACAACTTCAACTACATTCCATCACATCACAAGTCTCTGTGGCGCAATCGGTTAGCGCGTTCGGCTGTTAACCGAAAGGTTGGTGGTTCAAGCCCACCCAGGGACGGATGTTTTTATTGTGAATTTTTCCATAGTGGAATAAATACTGGATTTCAAACAGTATCTGATACCGATTTTGTCATATTACTGGATAATAATGAACCTCAATGAATCCTGACTAATTCAATCATGATTAATCCATAGCTACCTTGTGGATAATTACTTAAAAAAAATTGAAATGTTTGACAGCCCTAGTTAAATGCTATATAAGTATTAGTACAAAATTCAACATCATGAACCTCAGCACATACAGTGACTTAAATAAAATGAATTTCTCTCTTTTTTAAAAACCTTTTTCCCCTATAATTGAGTCAAAGTACTCACGAATGACTTCCAGTTTGTAGGTGGCGTTGATCTCCCCCGCTCTGTTGGACACGTGGCAGGTGTATTTCCCACTGTGCTCTGGTGTGAGGTTCTTCAAACTCAGAGTCCACTTTTTCTTCTTCTGACCATCTCCTCCGGCTCCACTGTCCTCATCCGCCAGTGGACGACTGTCCTTCAGCCACACGATGTCCGGTCGAGGGTTCCCGCTCGCCGTGCACTTCAGACGCACTGAGCTGCCCACCGGGCGAGCGATGACGCGCTTCCTCATCTTTGCCGGCTGAGTAAACCGTGGACGGACTGCAGGAAGAAACAGGACAACAGGACGATGACTGTCGATCGTTGGGTAAGACGGTTGGGTCAAACTGTGGTTTAAATATTGCTTTGAAAAAACACGTCATAACAGAGAATAGGACTGTTTCTTGGTCCCTGAGTCGGCAGCAGAGGTGGAACTAGAGGAGCAGTAATGACGAGAACAGGAGGAAGAAATATTAAAGAGCAGGTCAGGATTGTGTGATCTCTTCTGTTCTCCACAGCAGACAAAGTAGGATTTTAAACCCTGTTCTCTTCTGTTCTCCACAGCAGACAAAGGGGCCGTTATTTGACATTTTAAAAGATGTAACAAGAAACTGAAGCCCAATTATCTGAGGAAGCTGTGACACAGAAGGAGGTGAAGAGGTTTTTCTCCTTCCCAGAGGCGTTAGTGCTGTTAAAGAAAAATGTATTTTATACCAATCCCGTGTATAGGTCCAGACAGGCTGAGGTCAGTGTCTGCAGCAGAGTAGCAGGTATCCAAGGCCGTGCTGTAACCACACACGTCAGTGAGCCTCTTTGTGTATACGCACACATAATTAGCTGTAATAAACCCTAATTGTTTTGTTTAAGAACGTTTGGAATCACTTCCTCTTTTCTTTGTGACACGCTGTTACTCCTCGCTGATCCCGGATCTGACTCGAGACTTGTATACATTTAGCCCTCATTAAAAAGCCACATATAAGCCTAAAGTCACGCGTCCGTGACAGATCCCCGAGAAACAGAGAAATAACAGCAGACAGTGGCGTTACGTCACCGTAAATATTCAGACATGAACAGAGACACAGTTGGAGGGAAACGACAGAACAGAGAAACAGAAAATCCCTGAAGGTTTTTCAAAAAGATTTAAATGCTCTGCTTTTCACAGTGTGGACCACACAATATTTTCTTTTTGATCCTCACAATTTGGGAATCTAGTTGTGGACCAGATTGGATGGTTGGGTGGGACAGTTTGCGCCCGGGGGCCGCCACTTGATTGACACTGCACTACACTGAATTATGTTTTTCATCAGATATTTCTGACTCTGCTCCTACAGATGATGAATCATCTATCTAAAAACTCTGGCCTGTACGGGGTCAAAACCGTGACCTTGGCGTTATTAGCACCACGCTCTAACCAACTGAGCTAACCAGCAGGCGTGAAATGCATCCATTTCTTAAAAGAAAAAGATTTGAGACACAATTAAAATAATGCTGGAGTATCTCTTTCCCCACCACACACACACACACACACACACACACATGCTGACAGAGGAGGAGAGAGAGAGACATTCTCTTCATCTTTCTGTGACATGCAGATCAAAGGCGGGGTGTCAGAGGTCCAGTAGTATTTTTACACTGTGAAGTGTGGTGGTGAAGTGGCCCCTGAGACCCAGAACAAGCTGACCTTTTGCCCCCCGCTCTGCTTTTTGTCTCTATCCGTGCCGACTTTCTCACGTCGCCCTCATCTCTTGTGTGTTTTCTCTGTTTTTTCTTACTTTCTGCCACTTTATTTAGCCTCCCTCTCACCTTTCCTCATTTTTTTTTCTAACCATCACAGCTAAGTCTTCATGTCTTGGGCCCTAATTTTTTTGGCTTCCAGTCGAGTTTCATCTGCTTCTAGCAATCAGTCTGCCTAATGTTCTACCTTGGTCTGAACTCTGCTGTTCTCCCTCTTTTCTCCCCATCTGTTCTCTCCCTAACCTCTGTTTGACTGTTGTGTTCTTAGACTTTATAAATCAGTTCATCTGAAATGATGTTGTCTGCATATAATAGATCCATCTTCATACAGTCAAGTTCCCTTAAGATCTGCTTCTCCGTGCTTTGGCCTACACTCTGCTTTAGATTTTGTACAGGTGCATGAAATCCATGA